CCCTTCGTTCTTCTGTTGCAGTCATTGTGATTTCACGCCAGTGCTGAACAGTATCTTGTGGTGCTGTGTGCTGAAGTGTATGTGAAGCAGAATGTGCTGCAGGCCATGATTCAGTGATGTTTGGCATCCTTCCACTAGGACTTATATACCGATTACCAAGCTATGTTGTTGTTGTTGTTCTGAACTGCACAACGTATCCGTTTGTCTGCGCATTGCCCTCGAATGTATCCGTTTGTCTATCCACCAATGCACTATGCATACATCCGTGTACACTGTTTGGCAAGCAGGAGCATCAGCTGTTGGCGTTATGGTAGCTGTCCCACGAGTCTGCGGAGTGTCTGCTTGGGTATTTTGAGTTTGCCACCAGTCTTAGTGCGGGCTGCAAAGAGGTTGGCACACTGCCTGCCTGCACGCCGGACTCCTGGAAGACGTTTCTTTTTTTCACTGGCCATTTTTTTGGGCTTGCGGCTGATTCATGAAGTGTAAACTCATGGCCTGATTTCATGGCAGATAGTCTGATTTTCTCTGTGCAACGAGGTGAGAATACTCCGGCAGGGCCTCAATGATGCGAGCCCCGACTCCCCAAAGCAACCCTCTGAACCTCTAATGCCGGCAGGAGCCACATGAGCAATTTCCTGGAGTTCTTAATGATGTGGATTATCCTTCCATGACCAGGGCCAGCAGTCCTGTCATGAGTTGCAGTTGTAAATCAATACAACGTAGACCAGAGCAACTCGCAAAAGGTACCATGCTTTCACTGTTGGAGGATGATTCGCTCCGCTTCTTGGCTTGCTCGCCTAGATGAGTCACTCCATGGTCCGCAGTATGGCCTAACCAAACTTTCGAAGCGAATCCCCAAACTCCTAAGCCGCAGACCTTCCTTGAGGTGCTTCGGCTGCCACGAGGTCGTTACCGGCATGCGGGGTGGCCCAGCTGCCGGAAAAGGTAGCCCCCAAACCTGAATCAATTTGCTTCGGAAGCGCCGTAGTCGGTCAACTCGGGCACGACGCATGTTCAGAAGCGCACTCAGATCCTTGAGGAGGAAGCCTCCTGCTCGGTAGTAGAGAGGTATGATGGTGCAGAACGCTGGAATTTGCTTCAAGCTAAAGTCCTGTGCAGCCCCTCGTTTTCCTTGCGGTATCCCTCCGCAAACTGCTTGTCACTCAAACTGGAGCCTTCACTTCAAACCTGTGCAAGGACTGTGGATCCCGACCCCCAAAATCCGCAAATCCACGGTGTGAAGGCTTTGAGCCTGAGAAGCCCAGCGGTAAGGAATAAGTCGTCAGGCTAGGTTGGAGGGTTCGGTGTTTAGGTCGTTCAGGGCCGCAGAAAATCTAGGTGGCATTGACGATACAGGGAGACAGGAGCCCCTGTCCCGGGAAGGTGGTGTGAACGTGGTGGTTCAACATTTCAAAAAGATGACGGTGATCAGATTTGGAGCTCAACATCCCATGCAGAGCCGTAAAGCCTAGAATCGGCAAATCGTCAAACCTCTGACTAGACTAGACAGTTGCAGATGTTTGGCTGGCCTAAATTCAGGTGGAAGCTTTGCTTAGGAGTCGTTTGATCTGACGATTCGGAACTTTCGCGAGTTGTTAGGCCTTCGTTCTTGCACTTTTGGGGCGTGACGGTTTCGGCGCTTCTGGATTACACAACACGTATTGCGATTTCGGGACACTTCGGCCAGCAGCTCCTAGCCTATCAGCTGATCAGGAAGTGGCCTTTCTCCCTGGTTGCGGAGACGGTTGCTGAGGTTTACACCATCAGCAAGCAGGAGGGCACCGGAAAGCCTAAGACCTTAGACCCTTTCGCCCGAAGCTGGTAGAAGCCCAGCCGCATCAGAGCTAGCAGCTATGCCCACGTCTCCAGGATCTGCTGCGGACGGTGGCCAAGAAGCTCCTGGCCTCTCTTGTCGAGGCTCTTTGGGGCCTTTCCGTCGCCATCTTGTCGAGTTCCGGTCAACTTCACATCTTAGCAGTTTCATGCTGTTTCGAAGAAGGACTATGTGGTCCTTGTGCATGTGACCGTGCAGTCTCACAAGCTCGTCGTTAGCCTGAGTGAGCATCGAACCAAGATGAGCTCAACTTGAACATTCTGCCGCGAGGGAACCAACTGTTGCCTTGGGCAGCGATGCAGCCAACTCCCAGCCGCAGCATCGTTGTTAAATTTGCATATGGCATGGACGGCAGATCCGAGCAAAGGGCTCGGGGTGTGCAGGGTGCCCGTGTGCAATGAATGAAGACTGTCGTGTTACGATGTTGCAGTGCGTTTTTGAGCTCTGGCTATGTGGTGTAGGGCTAGACGATTCGGTGGATCTCATGGGTAATTACGGTATGTGCATCAGGGCCAAAGCTACCAGAGTCGTACAAGATGAACACTTCGAATACATAGCAGCTGCAAAACTGAACTGAACTGAAACCTCACAGAGCATTGGGGCTGACAAAGGTGATAGACTGCCAAGGCGTCTTCATCCTTAGATGTCGAGCCGAAATCCGAATGCCAAGGCGTGACCCCGGAACGTGAACTAGGTGTAGCACCTCAAAAGCTAGAGGACCTATTAAGCCTACGAATGCCTTCGATGGGTCGAGCTCCTACTTCCTCATCCTGTGAAACATCATGGCTTCTGCCAAAATCTGACGAGCCAGATCTCGCGCGAGATGCAGTACAGCGACGCATGGTTGCTGCCCTCCCTGCCAGTTGTTGGATGCAGGGTGCCGTCTTCAGGACTGTTTGTGTGCCTGGCAAGTCGTGTCGTGATTTCCATTTTAGAAGCGGTGGTGCCACTGGACGACGAAAAACAGGGATTGTTGTCACCGGTTTTTGTGCGCTGCTCGCCACCAGACACCTGCAGCGGGTGAAATTTCGAACCCGTTTCAGTACTAACATGCACTTCGCTTGCAAGTATCTGCTGACATCGGGATTCGGAGTTGGTACGCATTTTCCATAGCAAACTGCGAAACCTGGAGGCTCTGTTGAACTTCTAGTGCAGGTTCGTTTCACTCAATAGCTTGAATCTGCGACCTCATGCCCTCACAGCAACGCCGAAAACCACATGTGGGCCATTTTGAAAAAGTCACCAGCCAGAGAGTTGTCATATCAGTCTTGAGGTCTCCTGTTTGGGTTTGCGTTCGCTGTCTGCGAGGGGTTCGAGAAGTGTGGACCATGTGGACCCTGATTCAAGCTTGAGCCGCATGTGTAAGGCTTTCCCCAAAGATACTTGTGCTTGCTGTAATCCAGCTCCTGCGATGCGTTGTGCATCGTCGCATGATGGCAGGCACCTGAATCGCCAGACCGAACGTCTCGACCTCAGCAGCTGCGAAGCTCCTGAAAACCGGTTTTCAGGTGTTGCGTCTCTGTGAACGCTTTCAGGTTTGCTGGCACGGTTAATGCAAACACTCACCGCGAAGCGGACTCTTCGAACTCATTGTCACATGGTCCCCGGGGGTTCTGGTTCGGACCAGGGTTCAGAACGCTGTTGTCCAGGCTGTTTCAGCTTGGACGCGCGAACATGTGGGAAACACCTGCAGCCTATGGGCAGTTGGTACTAGTTGGGTACTGCCGTATTCTACTACCATTTCGTCATGTCTTCGCACACGACCTTCTTGAGAAGAGATCATGTTCGGCTTGGCTGCGCTGCCGAAGGGTGCCGTGCTGGAGCATCCGCCTAGCCGAAGCGGGGCTGCCTGTTCTCTTGCTGCACTGAACGCGCCAAAGGTTGGGACGCGTACAAGGAGGACATGATTAAGAAGGCCCTTGGTGGGTGTCTGCAGAATTTGGAGCAGATTCTAAAGTCCAGCTCCTTGATGGATCTTGATGGTCCTAAACCGTATATAAGCTCCTGAAGCCAGACTTTGTCTCTGTCCGGGATCTCAAGCGCTCAACTCCACTTCTTGCTTTGCCTGCAGCTTCCGGCTGAAGTCGTCGCAGATTTTTTTTTTACACGTTATGGAACGTACAGTAACTTAGATTGACGTTTTGTCTGTTTCCCGTACAGAACAGCTCCTATCCCGAGAACCTCCAGATTCATCCTGGGAATCCTGAGAGGCCGTGGAGGATGTTCGTGATGCCTCCGAGGCGACAGAAGCCAGGCAGGGGCGGTTTGCAACTGCGCCGCAAAACGTGTCATTGGAGCCGTTGTGCGATTGGATGCTTGGGCTTAAAGCCTCAGGTTCCTGGTTCCAGTCCAGGGGCCTAGACGTTCGATGTTGCATTGGTTGTGGGGTTTGGGTTGGGTGCTGCGTAGTCGCCTTTACGGTATTGGCCTTTCAGCCCAAGCACTGTGCGGCCTTCTGCCAGGGGCCAAGGCGACGACCTCGAAGCCGCACCCGGTGCGCGGCCGGCTTCAAGGGATGCAAAGGTTTGAAGTTTTCGGGCATCTCTTGAACCAAGACTCCGAAAGCTCCCACTCTGCCACGGCTCGAGAACCTGCGTGGAGGTCGTGAAGTCCATCGCATCTGTAGTTCGACCGCGGGGACGCTGCTGGCTGTAGGTGAGTAAAGGACAGTCGTACCAGAACGTATTGAAGCGATCCTTGACCTGGCAAACTAACTACACCTCTTGCCGGCATGCATCGTACCGCTAGTACCCCAAGCCCTGATTCCATCCTCAAACTCACTTGAGCTCAACGCATGACTCGCCACGCCCCACGCTCACGGCCGGCTGGGCATGTCTTCGCAAGGTTGTTGCCGGGCTGTTGGAGAACCGGAGCCTGTCGTGCGCTCGAACGAAAGCCTGGCATTGGTGAGCGAGTCTTGTGATCGAATTTTACCTCTCGGACAGGGTCGTGAAAGAGGAGATGTTCTTCGATTCGCACCTCGCTGTCGGCTGCAGAGGGCCAGCCGCTTTCGAAGACCTTTTGCAACCCGAGCGGCCCCAGCAATCGAAGAGAATCAGAGGCATCGACAACGCGATTGTTCTGGATCGGAGAACCCCTGTGTGTTGCAACCACGTCAGCTATGCCGCTAGATCAATCCTAGCGGCCTACCGTTTTCTATGAGTCCATGAACCATGACTCCACGCAGTTGGCAGAGGCCATCAACCGCTTCGCGAAGGAGTTCATGGAAGTTTCACGGGCCAAGAATCAGGAGGAGCGAGGTGGCGAGTGGCAGGGGCTTTGCAAGTCGTGAGCACCGAAGGCTTTGGGTGACGTCTTTTTGGCCGTGATCGGCAGCTCTACAGATGCAGTGAGAAGATCTTCGACCTGATGCGGAACCGCGAAGTCCATGCCCATCCCAGGCATTGGCCTCCAAGGCACCTCCAGCCCAGGCACCGGGCCCCAAGGCACCAGCTGGCCCGCCTCCATCAGCCGGCAAGGCACCAGGCCAACCCCCAGCCCGCAAGGCACCAGCTGGCCCACCGCCAGCCCAGGCATCGGCCCCCAAGGCACCTCCACCCAGCATGGTTTGCATTCTGAAAGGATGTACTCCACAACTGTCAATGCAGATGGCCCCTTCGACATTGACATGTTCCTGCTGCCTCTTCACTTGGATAATGTGGGGCACCTTTCCAAGTATTGGGAGTCGAGGAACTCGCCTCCTTTGAAAGTCGTTTCAGAAAGGCCTTCTCTACTGCAGCTGTTCCATTCTCCGATGGCCATGTTTGTGAAGGTACCTGATTGCAGTGCCCTCCATGATTTCAAGGAAGCCATTTGCAAAGCCCTCTATGCAGTTGGTGTGGAGCTTCCGTTGGCCACCTCCTCACTTGCAGTCAACTCATACAATGGCTACTGCATATCCAGAGGGACTTTGAAGGCTCACTGGGACACCATCCAACAAGCCCTTTTGGCCACTGGCATCTTTACAGTTTACCTTGGGCAATTCGGCTGCAAACTCCCCCTCCCATCATTCCAGAAAGACTTTGCAGAAATCTTGGACCAGCTTATGGGTGACAGCTCCACATTTGATTTGGCTGTCCAGGTCAAGGACCCTGCCTTCATTTATGTCTTCGGCATTAAAGGAGGCAAGACTGTATTGGATGGCTTGCATGGTGACAAAGCTTACCATGCTTACATCCACAAAATCTTTCCTGGAATGGTGCACTCAGATGACCCGGTCCACTGGGGCACCTTGGAAGTCAGACCGAGTGGCAGAGCGGCTTCCGAGAAGGGGAAGTTTCTCCAGGCATACTCAATCGGTCTGCAAATTAATGTCGCAATGTTCTCGCTGACTCCTTCCAAAGCACTCAAGACGTCACTGCCCGCCAAAGCAATTGGGGCCAGCCGTGCTTCGGAGCTCGGGGCTGCGGGAAGGAGATGCAGCTGCACTTTTTATGTGCATGCACGTAAAAAGTAGCAGATGTAGCAGCTCGTCACCGTAAGTACACAACATGGCCGGACACTTAACTTCCGTAGAGGTGCGCTGGTCACGAAATCGGCAAGAAACCCCCGTGGGCCGTGCGAAGAACTGCAGGAACAGACTCGGGTGAGTTGGTGGTCTTCGACCAATCGCAAGACTCCCATTCCTGGTCGCAGCAGCGCTATGACAATGAGTACGGATGGAAACCTCAGCTCATGAAACAACAGATGATCGACCCTGCCCGGTTTATCTACGTGACAAGCGACGATGGCAAGTTTCAGTGCAACTTGCCATCGTCGCTTGTCACGTAGATTTGAACCAGGCAGGGTCTTGTTCTGGCAGTTTTTCCACTACTCTTGACAGCAGTCGGTTGACAGTCGGGTTCGGGTGGGGGAGGTCTGAAGTGCCATCACACACAAACACACACCAGAGCACCGACGGTGCCCGGCCACGCAATGATTCCTCGATGCTGAGGATCATGCGCACGCCCTTGCAAAGTAGCCAAGGACCGAGGAGCAAAAGCACAAAAGTTTGAGTCAGAGTCGGAAGGTCCTGAGGAAGGCTCCGCTTGACTGCGAGTATACATTGACGCAGTGTTAGGGCAGGTGGACTACAACTATGATAGATCGGTTGTACAACCATGCGTATACTTAGCTTATGTTCTACAAGCACCATCGCATAATCCGTGTGGTGCTCCTTGGAAGATAGGCGCCGGTACTTTATTGGGCCTACAAAGGAACTAGAACAGAAACAAATTCAAGGTTAGTTGCCAGAGGCGTAACCCATGTTGGCTGATCCCCATCAGAATCGGAACGACTGGCCAAAACCATACATCCTATAGCCAACACCTAAAGCAGCATACCACTTGACACGTTGGAGTATTGTTAAACTTCTCCCTGAACTGTTCAGCCAACCTCCCATCTCGAACTACAGCGCTCTCAGAGTCTTCAAGACAGCGCGCAAAGTCTCCAAAACGACGCGTCCATCCAGATATCCCGAGAACCCGAAGCGAACGCCGAACGTTGCCTCTGGACCTTCACGAGGTACGCACCTTAAGGACGCACGCCCGCGAGTTCCCTTCCTGACCCAGCGCGAGGCGTGCTGCTTTTGACAGGAAGGGCGTTTAGGCGTTGTTTGTTTGCGGGGATTTAGGGTGTCGTTGAGGCATCGTGGTCTTTCGGATTTCTGGTAGCCAGGAAGGAGCTAATTTGATGGTTGGGGCCAGGATTTTGGGTTCCGGGGTTCGATATTTAAACGGTCTTACGGGTTTGTTGTTTTGGGGTTTTGGGTGGGAGACATTGCGGGTTTTGAGCAAGCTTGGGCGACGTTTAAGCCTCACTGGTTTCTTTTTCATATCCGCTCGGTTTCGAGATGAGGTTCCAGGCAATTCCGGGTTGTTTGGGTCTTTCGGGCTGTAGGGCATTCCGGGGGTTTGTTGGAGTGTTGTGGAGGCAATGTGCTTTGTGCGGGAGCTGAAGTTGAGAAGTGATTGGTCCGGCCATTCCATGCCATCTGCGGAAACAGAAGTGTGCTGGGGTGAGGTTGAGGTTGCATGACCCGAAACGTTCAGTGGGGGCAGGGTTCCGTAGTGTGCGCCCAGAACCTCGCCTCAAACCTCATGCCCAGATCAGAAACCTCAAAATCGAAAGCTCCTGAATCTTAAACGTGACACCCTGAACCTGAAAGGCCCGAAATCATAAGCGTCAGGCCCTTAACCATGCGAGGGTTGTTGCTCCCATAATAATAGTATGTATATATATATATATATATATATTAATATTAATATTAATATTAATATTAATATTAATATTAATATTAATATTAATATTAATATTAATATTAATATTAATATTAATATTAATATTAATATTATATATATGTATATGTGTGTGTAAACATTTTTTTATACATATATATATATATATATATATATCGGTGCTGCAAGGAAGAGTTCTACAGCGACTCCCCGGCCACCTTGCTGCGGCGAATCAAAACGATGAGGAGAGGGGGAATCGCGCCTGTAGGGGAAGTTCTTGGACACTGGGGCCTTAACGGGGGGCCTTGTATGCTCTTATTATTTTTCTTTGTGTCAGACTATCTTTTTCTTTGTGTACTTTCTGAAACTAGAACTCGCATGCAGTTCCAACCGGAAGTTGTAAATACTGAAAACTGTACATGCAGTTCCATCTCCGGTGTCGGAACATTCCTGCTTAACTGCCCCCACTGAGTCCCAGGGCCTGGATGTATTGGTGCATCGAGACTGGTATTCAGGTGTGCTTGGCCTGTAGGACCCATGCATGAGTCTGGAGTCGTTGATTTCCCTAGGCTGCTGTTTATGCAAACGTCGGACAATCCTCACGAGATGCTGTTGCAGTGTGAGGAAGGACCGACACCTGATGAAGGCACCAGCTTTGTCTCCGGGTTCGGCTCATATCATGGACTTTTCGGTCTTTGCCGCGACTGTTTACAACGCAAAAGCATTGCTTCTCCAGTGTGCTAACATGAGAGCCGATGTTGGGTGGCCTGCATGACCGCCTGCACCGCTGTAGGTTTTTCGTCTTTGGGGTTTTGGGTGATTCTATGACATGTTTCAGAGGTGGTCATAGCTGGCTATCTTTTCATCGCGACATGTACCTCCAAAATTAGAAGCCTTCAGCTGAGTAGGAAACATGTTGGCTTTCTCATTATCTGGGCAAGGTCCCTGCCTAAGGTGGCTGAGGAAAAGTGTGGGAATGTCCAGGCATTTTCGACTCTTTCTGTGTGCTCTTGAGCCTCGCAGAGAAACGGAAGCGCCTCGATCAACCTTAACAATACCGCGCAAGGGGACCGGACCTTACGTGCAGGGTCTCAAGGGCACGTAGCTGAGAGGTGTAGGATCACGCAGGTGCTGGAGACCAAGGGAGGCTACAAGTTCCAGAAGCAGGTGCCTCCGTCTTTCCGACCCCGCCCTATTTTGGAAGTTGGTTGTGTATTCTATAGTCAGCAGGCCCGTCAGGAGTGCGACGAGCGTTTACATCCAGTTGGGCTAGACAATGGGAGGTTCGGAGTGACCGGGAACATCTGCAGATGAGTGGGGAGAGCACGCTTGGCCACGACAGCTTATACAGCTTCTATCATGGAAGTGAACCCAACATAATCCTGTACTGCAAAGCATCAGAGCTTGTCGATCACTCTGTGTGTTTAGACCGCGGATTGTGCCAGACGTCTCAGCCTCCGGACCCAGAGCCCTACAGTCCTCTGCCGAGCGAAGACCGCCTCTCCAAGGGCGCAAGCAAGTAGACACTGGCTCAGGCGAAACAGGCGGGCGGGAATGCAACGAGCTCCTCGGCTGCAAATTTGCTGGTGCTTCTGCCAGTTCTCAGTTTGAAGCGCCGAATGATGTCTCGTACAGTATACTGGGTTACTGCTGGTCGGGTCCCACCGTGGAGCAGCTTAATATATACTCGGAGCTTCACAGCACAGCTGGTGACCAACACGAAGACTATTGGTTGAGTGTCGTAGATGTAGACTCTAGGAGTATTGTTGAAAGGGGTGGGTTCGAGGAGTAAGCGACTCCGGTCGAGACGGGTTCCATTTCCGAGCCACGAGTCGAACCCTGAACGCTTATCCAAAATGCGACAGAAGCGTTGTTTTGCCGGTGAAGTACGACGTATCGAGCACCGCACTATGCTGGATGCCCTTCGGCAGTGCGATGCATCTCAGCCCCGATTTCTTAATCTCGCCGTTCCAAATTTTCCTCAAGCCTTGAAGCCAGATCAATCCTCCCACCGCGCTCCAAAGCCTCGGACCCCAGCATCTGCCAAAACCTGAACGTCAATCGATGCAGGACATCATCTGCTAAAGTCTGCTATTGTCGGGCTTTCGAGAACTGTCAATCGCGGCTTATAAGGGCAGGCTTTGGCGGAAGTCTGGTCTGAAGCACCTATCAGGGCCACAGAACCTCAAATACCGGCAAAGCTAGTTTGCTTGCAGACCGTCAGCACGTAGTTCTGTGACACTTCTCTGGCCAAACTTGGTCTTAGCTCGCCGCAGATAGCTCGTAAGCTGCCACTTTGCTTGGGCTACCAGCGTGCAGCGAGGGTATTCTTACGCCTGCAGCCATCACATCCGAAAAGATGCAAGCCTATGTTGCGCTGGGTCCCTGAAATTTGGATCCCGGCCGCTGTCCCGAGAAGTTTGCCATGAACCTTCTCCCCCAAATCGCATGAAGATCAAGCCCCTGCAAAGTCGGCCCTCCACCTCGACTTGTAGCCGTTTACATCGGATGCAGGTTACCTGACCCTGGGCGATTTCAGCACGCGAAGGCCTCCTCGTTATGGCTGTTAGAGCTGTTTTCCCACTGGTGGCACCAAAGCTTGTGTCTACAACTGACCCAGCATGATACGCAAGAGCGCATGAAATCGTTACTCGTACCTTCATACACGCAGACAGAGTTCAAAAAGAAGGAAGAGAAACAGATGACGATGCTGCATTAGGCGCACCATCCCAATAGTCACACCGCCGCATCGTCGTGCGCATTTCCTAAGCAGCCAGCCATCAGGGCCATCAGTCAACAGTAGGTCGTTCAGAGTTTCCGGACAAGATGGCCTTCCGGGCCATTTGCGTGTCAAAAACCCGAGAATGAAACCCTAAGCCTCAAGAAGCTCACCCCAACCTGTTGTTGCGGCAGGTATGCGACTCCGAGCTGGGGCCTCATAAGACCGACCAGGGATTTCGGGTATCTGGGCTTCGGGGTGGGCTGGCAAGGGGTATCGTAAGCCAAAGTGTCAAGTCAAGCAGAGTTGGCCGCTGAGAGCCCTGGAGAGTAATGTATGGGCCTTCAAAATTAGAATATGGTTTGGGGGACTATTGTCTTACAACTCTAACAAGGAACCCCCAAAACCCTATTCTAGTTATTAAGGCCCCTATAGTAGCAGCATTTTCGAGAAGCGCTGATGCCCAGGTCAAGGCGAGCAGGACTGGGACCCCTCCATGTTCCTCGTGAAGCCCGCAGCCCAGTATGGGAGTTTCGGAAAATGAGGGGTATCTTATTTTGGGGTCCTTATAGTAAGGACCCTACTGTTTTGGGGTACTATATTAGGGTCCTCTATTTTCGGAAACGTCCGTTTTGGTTTGAGGGGGGTGTTGAAAGGGGCAGCTGCCGATGTGAGATTTTACATGCTACAGCTTTTTATTTTGATTTTTCGCCACTGCTTTCGTTTGGTGTCTAGAGCCCTGGGAGAGTGCGCACTTCTCAACTGAAGCAGACACATACAGCATGAAAGGACGATTCGACTCCAAACTCTTGAGTTTGATTGATACCTCAGGACTC